ACTCCCCGTTCCCTGGTACATAAGTACCTTGGTGGATTAGACATTCCAGGGTGTGAACCCCACGGGAGAGCTCAGCAAGCAGAGGGCTCCCAGCCATGCCACCATCTGGGGAAACTACACAGTGGGGAGACTGTGATCTTGAACTGCTTTGCAAGAAAACAAACTTACCATTGTTGTCTGCAGATGCTAATGCTTGGCTCTGTTGTTCATTCTGCTGCAGAGCAGGGTCCCTCTAGATTTGTGTTAGGTGTACAAGGTAAATGATACTGAAAGCCATCTCAGTTTCCCAGGCTGAATGGTTTTTAAAAGCCTTTTTATGGTGGAAAAGCAATCGAAGGAAAAGAAATATTGTGGGAAAATGTAATTTCACTCTTCCTTAGCTGAACCAGATTCATCATAAGCAAGTTGTTCATCAGTAATGAATATATTCTAGTAGTATGAGATGACAGTAAGCCTCTGAGACCAGAGCCACGGGGAGAGCTGCAATCCTCTTTGACCCAGAGCCAACACTTCCTTCGGCAACTGTATAGAAGGCCTGTTCTGTGCTGGGTGTTATAGTTCTCTGGAGAAGTCCAGGGAACACATGCTTTCCAATCTGCATTTGCAGGGTGATCAAATCATATAGGCCTTTGTAAAAAGACTTCCAGTACCACTTACTTGTAAGCCCCCTCATTTAATTTGCACATCTCAGATGCATGTATCACCATTGTTTGGAAGGCATATACTGCGGCCCTTGGGAGAGCTGTGGCTACTAACTCACAGTTTGAAAGTTTTTTGTGGCAGATTACTTACTTTTAGGAGCTGGCAGTATTTTTGTCATTGTGAAATCTCACGGCTTTAGTTCAGAAATCTAGTATTATCTATACCAATTAAAACTGCAAGATAAAAACAAGACCTGTGTAGGGGTATAGGGGTATTAAGTTCTCAAAGGACTAAGTTTACATACACATGGAAAAACCTAAATTGGAATCAGTGGAAGAGGACAGTGACTTACCCGCTGAGAATTTGGGAAGAACTTTGCCCTCTGAGGGCTTAACTTGAAAATGAGCCATAATATTATGAAGATCAGCCAAGAAATCCTCATTGGTAGTTTTAAGGCGATCCTCATAGCATGACTGGGTATATAAAAACCTCTGAAGACTCAGTCAGCCTAGAAAGTATAGAGGAAAGTGAGTCACAGAGACAAACACTGTCATTGTCCTTCCTAGAGGGGCCTAGGCCAGAGCTTTTACTACTGCAGTTGCATTGACAAGGATGTTTCTATGTGGCCAAAGGCAGGGAACTATAGCCTGGAGACAGGTATATGTTCCACTGGCATCGTTGTCCCGATCAAGGAAATAGATGCATCAGGCTAGCTCGTCTTGATGTCATTACATAGGTGATTCATCTCCTATTCCTCATCCTGATTTCCTAGTGATTAGGGAATCATGAAGCTCTGCCTATGAGAATGATGTTTACTGGTGATAACAGTGAAAGTCATGCACCTTGTGGGCCTTCATATTGTTCACTATAAATAAGTGAGTTGGCCTTATAGTATGTTGTGTCAGTCTTGTTTGTTTCATAAAGGGGAATCTGCCCTGAGTACTTTGTGTGCTGATAATTCAAGTTCCTAAGGTAAGAGGACTGAACTACAGCTTTTGAGGAAGATCAAGAAGTGGATGAGATTAGAGAATAGGAATAATTTAGAAACTGTTTGCAAAGCTCTTCATCCCACTATTTGAGTTTACTTTCAGTCATGATTTTTACTTGGGTGTGGAAGAGTGGGGTGTGTGTGTGTGTGTGTGTGTGAACAAAGACTAGAAATTGATTTCCTTTCATCTCTCTCTAGCTTATTTTTTGAAACAAGGTCTCTTACTGTACCTGGGACTAACAAATTTTGTAAGACTAGCTGGCCAGCAGGCTCCAAGGAGCCACTTGTCTCTTCCGTCTCAGTGCTAGGATCACAGGCATAGACCACCACTCCCAGCTTTTGACAGGGATGCTAGAGATCCAAACTCAGGTTCTCATACTTGTGTGGCAAGCACTCCACTGAGTTGTCTCCTAAACTGCTTCCCTCAGTGTTCTTATCTCATTTTCAATCCTAAGTCATGTTAAGCAAGGCATTATTTTATTTGTCAATGGGTCTGGGAATGAGTTAAATAAGTTGAAACACTGCTTTGGAATGTGGTAAAATTCTTTCTGTGAGCCCTCTTGGGAGAATGCCAGTGCTTCCCTAGCCAGCATCCTCAGCAAGCTTTGTGGTCCTTTGTGTAGTCTCACACACTGTACCATTGGTTATTTACATGAAAGTGAAACCTGTAATCTATGTTACTAAGTGTTAACTATGCTTGCATTTCTCATAAATTAGAAGTCAAGGTATTGTTTATTACTGTGCCAAACACTAATGTATACTATTTTTTGGTTAAGTAAAGGGAAGCATCCAGGAATAGATAGCTTCTGAGCTCACCTTCCAAACCTAAAATTCCAATTTTTTTTTTCATGAAGAATAGAAACTGAATAGTCTGCTATTAGATGTAAAAGTGTTGATTCCTGGGCATCCTGGTTATTCTGACCAAATTGAATTGTGTATTCAATCTGACAAATGTGTATTGAGTGACAGCTGCTTACAGGGTATCAGTGTGGACAGCCACAGCTCACCACCAAGAACACTGACTGGTCGCAGATACTGCAGGGCTTTTACATATGGGACTACAGGGTCCTTTAGGGAACATGATGTCATTTCCACTGCTTGTACCATCTCTTTATAATCTTTCAGCCTGTTCTTCTTTTCCTGATTGACAGCCTTGAGAGAATGGCTGATTTCTGTTGAATGAATGACTCCTGTTGCTGCAGTAAAGACCTTGACGTGGGCATTGACTTTATGTATTTAGGGCAGTCTTAGTCTGCCAGTGGCCAGTCCAGCAACACTCACTTCTGAAGTTCAGACTGGATTCTCTACTCTCACCATTTGCCAGTGTCTGCTCAAAGTGTTTGTGTCAAGTATGTAGATTTACCTTTCTCTGTGGATAATGCTGGCTAATCAAATGTGGAATATTGTAGACCAGGTGACTTTTTCCCAATTCGAATCCCCAGACGGGTGAAAATCTCATAGGATTCACAGGTTCTGCCTATAAAAACATGACTGCCAAACTCCAACATTTATTTTGGTTTCCCTCCCTGGCAATAATGGCTGGTCCTGATTGAGAGCTGCCACCACTCACCAGCTTTATGTAGCTGCCATTACGCTGTAACACATATTACTACACAGACCAAATTGCAGGCACAGTATGTGCCTTCCAAGAGAAAAGAATCCAGGAAAAAACTCTGTCCACTATATTACATTAACTGTTTTGTTTAAGATGAATTGAATCTTGCTCTGGAAAAATCTAGCTGTGTATCATCATATTTGGCCCGTTTTCACATGGATATGCCACATTGGAACCACTTCCCATTGGGGGTAGCCATGTAAGGCTGGCATTAGACAGAGGCCAATTTGACACCCATAATTTTTACATGATTTCAGTCACTTATATCCAATATATAGAATCACCTGGAGCATGCAAATTCAAATGTCTGTGGCTTGGATTTCTGCTTTCCGTTAAGTTGAAACCTCTGGGATGTGTTTGATAGATCACAGAAAAAGGAACCACTGCTTGGGACTGTATTTGTTTTTCATAAGCAGTCATTTTCCAGGGCATAAAGCTAGGCATTTTTAAATCTGAACATTATTCTAGCAATTTCTTTGAATGCAACAGATTTCAGCAACATCAACAACCCAGTTGATAGATGTAGCTGAACATCTCTGTAAAGTCTTAGTTGTAAGTGACTGAGCTAGCTACACCTTTCCTAATATTCCTAAGATGAAAAACTGTACAAAGAAGCAATATGTAAGATTCTAAAGGAGACAGAAATGCCTGGGCTGGTATTAGGAGTTAATTAAATAAATACTTTTGGTATAATCCAAATTTGAATTTCATAGGTCTATTACTGCAACTTCTTCAACTTGGTCTCCTAATGAGGTTCATAAGTATGAATTTAAGATGAAGAAGCTTTCTGCAGGTGCTTGCTTTTGTTTAGTTTTATTTAACTATTTATAAAACACATTAGAAAATGTGTTAATATTCAAATATTACTTTAGATATATATGTATATGTAAAATTATATGCATATATATGACTTATATATAACACTAAAATGTGTAACTGAAAGTTTGGTCTTAGACCAGTATTACTGAATAGGCACACAACCATACCTGGCTTTTGTTATGTAGGTTCTGATGACTCCCGGGTCCTCAAGCCTTTGTGGTAAAGACTTTATCAACTGAGCTGTTTCTCTAGTTGCTACTTTTAAAACAAATAAATAATTTTAAATTGATTTTTTAAAATTTGTTGTGAATGTTTCTGAAGTATATTAAAAGATTAAATATAAACCCTGAGACTGCAGAGCCAGGGATGCCACCTTGTCTTGGGCACTGCTGGTAACAGGTCCCTGCTGTAGATGGACTGTACAGAAGGTATTCTAAAGCACACCCTAAAGGCAGACATCCTTCTTGACCAGAAAGTTTCAGCAATGATTAAAAGCCTCTTAGCAGGCTCTCCCTGTACAGTGTAGATCTCTTTAAACTGCTGATCAGACAAAAATAAGCTTATTTCTTTATTCTGTGCTTTAATTATCCTGCCTATATGGGGTAAATGAGTTTTGCTGGGTTTTGACCAACATGAGTTCTGCTCTATGCCAAACAACCATGTTCTTCAAATGAAAAGTGTTAGAAATTTTAAAGAAGTATAAGATTTTTCTATATTTGATGGTTCAATATACTATAAAGAGTGGCAAGTTTTGAAAGCATTTTTCAGTAATAGTCCTTTCCTTGCACTCTGAAACAAGTTCACACCTTATAAGTATCTTCAAAGGGGGAAGGATGGAACTGATCTCATTTAGCAAAAATGATAGTCACCTAGATTAAAAGCCTTTACAACTTATTTTTTTATCATCTTCCTTTCCTTTCTGTTCCTTTTCTCCAGGCCCTGATTATATCAAACAAAGATTTCAGGAGGGGGTAGATATTAAAGAAAATCCAGAAGAAAAGGTCCCAGAAAAGCCTCCGTCACCAAAGGAATCTCCTCATTTTTATCGCAAAGGCACGACACCTCCCAGGTCTCCTGAGGCAAGTCCCAAACAGAGCCACTCTCCCCAGCCTTCCTCCCCAAAGTCCACAAAAACACAAAACCCCAGCTCAGGGACAAGACTCAGTCAAGATAAACGGAGCCTAGCTGAGGAGCAAGTGACAGCCATTGTCAATAAGCCCTTGATGTCAAAGGCTCCCTCAAAGGATCTGGGAGCAACCATGTCCAAGTACTCTGGCCGCCACTATGTCCCCAACCCCAGCAACGGGGAGCTGCACTCTCAGTATCACGGCTACTATGTGAAACTGAACACGCCCCAGCATCCTCCAGACGACAGGGAGGATGACAGCGGTGTCAGCCAGTCTTCCTCAGCATTGGTACCTAGACTGTCACCTAACAAGTGGAGTTCCCCTAAATCTGTGACAAAACCAGTTGCCAAAGAAAGCAAAACTGAGCCAAAAGCAAAGAAGTCTGAACTTGCTATACCAAAGAATCCAGCAAGCAATGATACCTGCCCTTCATTGGAAAAAGAAGCCAATTCTGTAAGTCTTGCATGAGATTTTCCCTTGGCTTTGTTCAGGGGGCAGTATGTGATGGGTGGTTTTATGTCTTGACCACATCTGGACAGACAAAAATCCTCAGTTCACTGGGTTGTTTAGAGCAGAGCAGAATATGTTTGTGGCTCATGATAGCAAAGAGTTCTCTGAGCAGAAATCCTGTGCCTACTCAGCAAGCCACTGCAGATAACTCAGGTAGGACTCAGGCCTGGCTAGCCCTTTCATATGTTAGCAAGTGTTTATCAATATGTCTTGGTGAACTTCTTAATTACCTACTCAGTGGCCCCTAGAAGGAAAACATGGCCAACTTCCCACAGCCAGCACCTTTCTGCATAGCAACTAGAAATTATGAGCCTTCCTTCGGCCCTTTACACAAAGGAAAATCACTTGCAGCCATTGAAAATTCTCATAAATATGCAATTTGTATTTTATTTAATGAGACAGGCTCTGCAGCAAGAATATTTTTCTTCCCAAATGAGTAACTTTTACAACAACATAATTACTTTATAATACATCTCCAGATGCAGATGTTCTTAGATTCAACTGTCCAGTAGATGCTAGCCATTGTTGATGAGTCTTAAACAGGTTAGATTTCTTTTATCTAGTAAACTTTGTGTTATTGATGAATGTCTACTACGTGTTCCTTAACATGAGGATGATTTGGTAAGTACTATATGGAACTGAGATTTTATCAAGTTCTATAGAATTTATAGGATCTGAACATTTTTTAAATCTTTTTATTTAGGTGAGTGATTTAAAATAAATTGTTTGGTTATCTTGGTCATATATGCCTCTGGGTGGTCCTGTTCACTGTGAAATACAACTCAGAGAGTAAGACATCGCTTGATGGTACAAGCGATTTGAGAAATACGTATTTCGGGAATCCTGATCAAGAAGATTATAGACTATCAGTTTCTTATTTTTGTTACAATTACTCATAGGGTTAAAGAAATACAATTCATCTTTTGAAGTAACTTGAGCTAATTTTTACTAATATCTCTATATAATATTGGTGAGTTTTTTTAGTCTCTACTTTTTCACTAGCTACGTATAAAGTAATCAGATCCAACCAGATTAATAATGTCCTAAGAAGCAACTTCTGTGAAGGTAAATAGCTTTAAAGACAGGCTAATCTTTAATTTGTTTGAATATTTAGTATTTGTTGTAAAATGTTTGAACATTGATAAACCTTATTATCTGTTATTGTAATTCCACCGCTACTGATTCATTGTATGAAACAATCAGTTCTTATCACACATTCAACATGAATATTTATAATGAGTAGGGCTTCTTGTATATATAGTATCCATTTGCCTGATTAATAAGGGGTGGATCTAAACAGTGCTCTTCCAACTATATAGCATCTTTGCCTACCCGATAGGATATTTGATTTCCCACATGCCACAATGGAATCATGTGCCCAGCTTCCCCCTCATCAGTCTATGATAAGGAAAAAATATTGCTGTTACCTATAAACCTTTCTTTATAGAAGTACTGTGTGCTGGTAAACACATTACCGCTATATTTTTAAAAAGCATAAGTTTTTAGTAATATGTAGAATTCTTCATTAATTTACTTATTCACTTTATATCACAATGTCAGCCTCCCCTCCCAGTTCCCCCATCCACCCACCCACCCTCATCCCCCACCTATCCCTATCCCTGTCCCATAGTTCCTCCCCTCACTCTTCACTCCTCTTCTCTGAAAAGCTGGAGGCCCACACCAGGTATTTTGTATAGGTTCTTGATGTAAGCCAAGCAACTTCCAACTCAGGCTCACTGATCAAAACCCAAGTTGCATATGTATGAGATGGCCTCAGCAGCCCTACATCCTTTGAACTTGAGGCTTCCCCTCTGAATGACATTCCAGTCTGAGGAGTCAGATTGACTGGTCCTCAGTGAGAAAGTGGTACTTTCCTAATCAAGAAGCTGCCTTGTATTCCTAGGGCCAGCCCTCATTCCAGGAGTAAGGTAGTGACACATGACTGTTAGAATAGTTAGTGAATGACCACTGAAACAGTGGAGTGCTACCTACTGTTCTAAGCAATTGAGAGCACTGTACAAGTTCAACATTTATAATGAACAGTTTAAAATTCATAAAAACATTGACACAAAACCAGGCAAGTAGAGGATGCCCATAATAAATCAGCCAGTACTCTGTGTGAACAGCAGGGGAAATTGTTATGTTCTTAATGAAAGACTCAGTGGAGTTAGTGCTCAAAGGGCATTATTATTACCATCATCAAAGGCATACTAGATGATGTATAAATAGCTTATAAATGGCTCAGTAGATTCCATTTCTTTATGCTCAGCCTGGATAAGTATCTAGAAAATGTAGAAAATCTTCTGAGATAAAGATTAACACTTAGAGGAAATTAATTACTTAGCAAGCATGAGAAGGTAGGCCCCTGCAGATTACATCCCTAACTTGGGCAAGATATCTTCTCATCATTTGACATCCTCTGTTTTATTTTTCTAACAGCCTGAAGGTTTCTTCTGATGTGTGCTTAGCGGCTGCCTTCTTGCTGCTTCCCATCACACCTGCCCCAGTCAGTCTGGGGAAACAGGAGTAAGCTTCTCTTCATTTTGCTATTTTAAGCCACCGCTGGCTACCACAGCCATATTTATGGGACTTCACCTTAAAGTTTTTCACCTAGTAGCCTGCCCAAGGTGTCTAAAGAAAACTGAGGTCATAGCTTGGTACCTGTCAGTTAAACACAACATTTTCATTCTTACCTGCTGGCTGTTAAAGCCTCCCATTGCTGGTCTATGCTCATCTTCCCTAAGTAATCTTTAAAAATGGCTACATAAGTGGGGCTACACTGGTAGGCTAAATATGAATGTATATTAGAGCATATACAGGATAAATATATATGTGTGTTGAGTAGGAAACACATAGATGTATTTTTTTATTCTGGATAAAGCATTTATTTGTTAGTCATTGATGCCGGATTATAAGTACAATAAAATACAGGTCAACCCTTTGAAGAGATAGTTAAGCTACTAAATTCAATCCAAGACAATCTATAAAGCCGAGAGTACTAATCAATTCAAAAGAGTTCATATAAACACAAAGCACCTTACTAGGATTTATGAAATATGAGTTAATGCGGCTTAAATTGTTTTTTTGTTTGTTTGTTTGGTTGGTTGGTTGTTTTTTTGTTTTGTTTTGTTTTGTTTTTTTCTGAGATTGAGTCCAAGACCTTGTACATGCTGGAAAGGCATTCTGCCACTGTGGTACACAGCCCTGTGTTGTATTCAATGGCACACTATGATTCTATGTCCTGGGTCCTCTCTGGCCATGAACTCTATACAGGTTTGTTCTCACCCAAACTTTTCTTCATCCTTGGTACACCCATTTTCATGGGGAGGAATTAAATGTATTACCCCCAAAGAATTGATGCAATCCCAAACTGCACACTTAAAGTCTGACCAACACATGAATCACCATACCATATATTTTATGCTCAGATGTGATGTTGAAACATTATCTAGTATTTTGAGCTCTAAGAGTTTCTTTGTCTTAAGTTTGCCTTGGTTGAGAAGCTGCAGAGATTAGAAGTCACCGTTTATTGCATCTGGCTTCATGCTGTACACCAACCTAGCCTTGAACTGATAGTATTCTTCCTGTGTCACTCTTCAGGGTGCTAAGATTACAGGCATGAACTGCCATGACTACTCACCTAGTTATTGAGTAATTGGAGGTTAATAAGATATTTCTATTTCTCTGAGAATTGAAAGATATAGGTAAAAATGTTACTTTGCATATCTTCATTAGAAATTGTTTTTAAACTAAAGTCTGACCTTTTGTAGAGATAGAGAAAAAAGCCTAGAGTACCCAGTGGACAGCATGATATTTAATTCTGCTCCTAAAGAACCTGGATTCATAAATAGTTTGTAAATATTCTAATACACTTATCCTCATGATGCCCTCTAGTATGTAACTAATAATCTCATGTGCAGAACAAATAAAAACCAGGTGATAATCTACTTAGAGATGCTTAATCTACTGCCTAGCATTTAACCCCCTTTTTTTTCTTCCATGTACTTGGAGCTTAAGAAGTGGGGGTTGTTTCTCTTCCCTCAGAGGGCCTTGTTTTCAGTCCCCAAACCCCAATCTACTAACAATGTACTTGTTCTTCAGTGCAATGATTTCACCTGTTTTGTTAAACATTGAGAAGAGCAGCACCTGGAGAGGCAGTGTGTTCCCCTTAAGCTCTGGCTGCGTGAGTGAACTAGACACCACAAGAGTCAGGCACTCGGGACATAGTGAAGAGGAGGTCAAGGCCCTTGATACTGTGGCACTGAGTCTAGGTAGGAAAATGACCATACAGCAACAGATGGCAATAAACTGTGACAAGTGTCATGACAGAGAAAGAACAGGGCACCATGACCTACCTCCACCAGAGAGCTGTGGCCCATGAACACATGAGGTAGGATGTCCTTCTGTCAGCCAGCAGTAGATAGCCTAAGCTATGCCCCACCCTGGAAGATGAACACTTGTTCAGACTTCCCTGTTCAATCCTGTCACCAGAGAAAGCACAATCAATGTCCCTGTAACCTTGTTTCCACACAAACTTATTTGGTACTCAGAATGTGACTGTTTCATTTAATTAGAACAATTATTTTTGACTAGAAAGGTGGCTTCACAGTTAGAGCATTTGCTGCTTTTGCAGAACACCCAGGATTGCTTACCAACCCACATGATGACCTGCTCGTAACTCCAGGAGATCCAACACCCTCACTGGCATCTACAGACCAAGCACGACCATGGGCATATGTAGATGACACTGAGGCTTTTGTATTCATAAGTAAGCAATGGGGGACTATGGAATGCTAAACACACAGGGTTGTCTCTTTAAAGGGAGGTATATATAACCCCTTTTCTCTCCAGAAGACTGGAGATGGACATGGTTAATAGCCTCATGACCTTTGAACTCTATAACTGAGACCACACTAAATCCTCCCTCATACCTTTATCTTCAGCTGATCTCTCAGTTAATCTATAGGACCCATCTTTTATGAAAGATGTCACTTATATAAAGAGTTTTGACATGATCAAATCTTGTTTTGTCATGCCCACAAAATTAAGTTAATTATCTCCAAGAAACTTTTTTCCAAATTGTGCTGTGTTTAAAAATGTCTAAAATAAACTTAAGGTCAAACTCTTGAAGTTTTAAACATCTATTGAGTCATGTTCAACTAAACTGCTTTCTTGCCTCTCACAGATCAGCATTCTGCAGGCTGTGATGTATGCAGACACACACACACACACACACACACACACACGCATAGGCACTAAACTACCCCCCTTCCACAAACACATAGAAACATTTAGGCAAAATACTCATACACATAAAAATAAACTTCTCAAACGTCAGTTAATTTATATTTGACACAGAGGCGTTCTAGAACACTATCTAAGAATTGTGTGTTATTTTAATAATATTTTTTTAAATACCAAGATCTTATAATTCTAAATAAAAAGACGGATTCTTTAGGTACCACCAAGCCTGACTAGCCAGGCCATATAAGCTTTAGTTTTCCAAATAAAAGCTTGATGACCTTGGGTTATCTGGTACTTATTCTAGTAAGATTGATCAAAACAGGAATCTACTGTTGGTTCAATATACCTGAGTCTACAGTGGTTTGGTTATGATTCAAGAAACAAAGAGTTAGACCTGTAAAAAAAGTATCTTCTGTAAGTATTCAACTTCCCATTTGTAAGAAGGAAGGAGTAGAACTCAGAAAGAGGCTCAGAAAAAATCAAGAATTAAGCTGAGGGCTGAGCCTGTAACTCACTTGGTAGAGTATTTCCCTAGCATGCACAAAGCTCTGAATTCAGTCCCCTGCCCTACATAAACCAGGAATGGTGTCATATACCTGTATCCCAGCACAGTAGGAAGCACACATAGGAGGATCATAAATTCAGAGTTATCCTCAGCTACATGAGTTTAAGGCAGGTCTAGGCTACATGAGACCCTATAAAAATAAAAGTACCTCTCCGAGTGTTCTGAATTCTTCCTTGGAGAAATGAAACCCTCTGGTTTCATTATTTTCTAACAGCCTTGATGAGGGGCTGCTCTTCTTTTCTGACTCTCACTTTCTAAGAACAACTGAGTCCCACTACCTTCCATCTCCTTTCCAGTGATCCTTCCCAGTGTGGGAGATGAATAGAGTACATTGTTACAGAAAAAAATACTGAGATAGGGTCTCATTATGTAGCTCTGCTCATCAAGAACTCACTATGTAGGCCAAGTTGACTTTGAACTTAGCGTGCTAAGATTAAAGGTGTGTGTCACCTCACCCAGCTTTAAGATATTTCTTTAACTTAATTCAAATCTACACTAATTTTAAGTGGAAGTCGGATGGTGACTTCATATAAATGTAGCATTACTGTTTTTAATTCATAACTTTTGGAAGGGCTGTTATCTTTCATACCTTAGTTTCTTCCACAATGTTTGTATGCTTACATTTCTGCTAATTGGTTCTGGTGATGGGTTTCTATCAAGCAGCCATACTGACATGGGAACATTGTGCTTGTTCTATTTTGTCTCCTTCAGGGCCCTAATTCCATCATGATTGTCCTGGTCATGCTGTTGAATATTGGGTTGGCCATTCTTTTTGTTCACTTTCTGACTTGATTGGAATTAGGAAAGGTAAGCATAGCCTTAATTTCTATAGAAAATCATAGTAACATCATTTTCTCCAATTTACAACTTTTTTAAAACAATGACATTGTCCTTCACTTTCATTTTGAATGTGACTCAGTATGGTTACTTATTGCTATAACTGTTCCTACCCTTCAGTGAAGTCATGCCAACTAATGGAGTTAGCTCACAGTTCTGCCTTGGTGTCCACACCCCAGTCAGACTCAGACACAGGCAAAGAGGCTTGGATTGGGATGGGATCACAAGAGAGATGAAACTTGGAAAATTCAGCCAAAGGATCTTCCATGTCCCCCAGGAATGCTCTGTGTCTTTGGGATCCTCTGGGAGCTGAAGCACACAGCCATGTTGGAAAGCAAAGCTTAATAATGATTCTTTTTTAAAATCTGCTGAAGAAGCCCCATCCGGCAAAGTTCTTGGCATTGGCTACTCCATCTGTCCTAGCAGAGTATGACTAAACTGGAAATGTATGGACCTGCAAATTTTTTTGATGGAAGTCAACAGCTGCCTTACTATTTTACCATCTGACGTTTTTAGTAGGGAGCTGGGGAGAGAAGACTGCCAGAGGAATGCAGTCTGAGGATTGTGTTGCAGTGGGTGTGGTTCCAACATTCACTCCTATCTCATTAGAAGAAGTAGGTAGCAGCATCACTCAGCAGTCTTCTGCTGTGACCTGCTGCTCTAACATCTCCTGGAATGTTCTGGAAGGGAATGTTTCATTTGCTTGTGCACGACTCTGCTCATTTTTGCTGTTTATTTAAATAGTCATCTTCCACCTGCAGTTCTGGCTGGATGAGAACACACAGGTTGCATCTCAAGGAAAAGCAACAACAAAAGACTAGTTTAAAAAATATATAGTGTTTATTTTAATAGCAATACATTGTTTTCATGTTGTTTATTCTTTTTAAACCAACAAAAGGTTATTTATCTTTAAAATATAGTGATCTGAAGGTATTGTACCTTCCAAAGAAATAATTTAATTTTAAATATTTTTAACATCATTGAGGTGAACTGTTGACGCACTCAGGAGGTGCTAAATTTTAAAAGCTGAAAGACGACAGAATACTAAGAAGTGTAGTCAAAATGTTGCATGGATTGCAGTAATCAGTGGTTAAGGGTTCGGTTTCATTGCTGACGTATGTTACAACCAAATAAAATCTTGTCAGTGGCTCTGTTAATTCCCATGAAAGTTAAGCAAGATCTATTAATAGCTACTCTTCTCTTTCTCCACCCCACCCCCCAACTTGAATTTTGGTTGAATGCCTTCAGGTAGACAGTAAAGCTTTGTTAAGTCACTGCCCCTTCTCTGCCTTCAATGTTTTTCAAAGTTGTTTTGTAATAATATTTTAAATTTTAAAGACTTAGAAGTTTTATTTTAAATATTTGTCTTTTGCTGTCCTTCATCATTCTGACGTTGATTTTGTTTTCTATTATATAATTTACTCAGAAGCATGCTTACCTAGGGAAACTACATGATCTTTATCAAAAATAATTATTTAAAAAGAAATCAGAATAGGAAATGTATGTCTAAGTCTCTTAAAGGCATTACCTTGTGGAGAGGGAAGTCTTTTTAACTTTTATCCAGGATGTCATAGTGTCAGCCAAGTCTCTCACTTAGGAGCCTTTGCAGAGCAGACGAGATAGTGTATGTCACTCCCCTGACAGCACAGGTGAGGACCTCATGCTTTGTCACCTACAGGGTTGTAACCCAGTAGTGGTTTCTGCAGAAGTGCAATATGTTGAGACTCTTGGGTAAGACTAATATGGATTAAAGAAGAAGGCAGAAAGAGAGCAAATGAAAATAAGATTACAACTTGTATATTTATTTTTTACATTTTGCTTTGATTTTTAATTTTAGGGAGTCCGTTTTTACTCAAGAACAAACTAAATCTGTCTGTTGTATCCACAGTTGCCCTGCCCCTTCCTACCCCTGTAGCTCCTTATGCTGGGAAGGCTGGTTTTTGTTTTTTTTTTTAAATAGAATATTTAATCTTATTAAGTGTTTATTTAAATGTGTAATGCTTTGAAAATAATGGGCAACATGGAACTAAAGGATGTCTATAAAGTGAGCTTGTTGGCTCCATTTATAAATATATATATGATTTATAAGCTTTTTTAAAACAAAGCTCAAATTGTGGGTATTTTTCTAAAATGTGCACAGCTGTATTTTCCATGAAGGATCTTTCTAATGGGTTGTTATACTGTACTCTACATTTTGGACAGCACATGAAGTCTGCCAATGTACTTAATAAAACATGACTTTGTTTAATTAAAGTTTCTTGCTGTGAAAAAGAACTCCTTCCCTATCAATGGGTTCCTTAATTTATAATCCTTGAAACCAAAATGTATAATGTACAGTTTGCACAACTGTAACTGCCCTAATAAAAATGTTGGTTATTAATAAAGTTGGAGGTGTCTTTCCTTTGTGAGTAGATTATTGGCTGAGGTGTGAACGTTAGAGATGATGGTATTAAAAGACAGACCTTGCTTAGCATGTTCGGGAGCTGGCTGTCAAGCCTAACAACCTGAGTTCAATCTCTAGAACCCATAGGATAGAAGAAGAGAACAGAATCCTGAAAGTTGTCCTCTGATGCCCCTACACACACATAAACCATGGCATGTGTGTGTTCATACACATGTGCCTAAAATTAAAGCAATTCAATATAAAAATTACAAAAGATATGTACTGAAGAATTAACAATGGGGCGGGGGGAGCCCAGCACAGCCATGGGGCAGAAAGTAAGCACACTGCTCCACTCTGTCTCTTTCATACTGGGACTTTTTCTCTTTCCTTTTTCTTTTTTCCTTTCATTTTAAATAGATTCTTTTATCACATAATATATCCTAATTATGGTTTCCTCTCTCTCTACTCCTCCCTACTGCTCCCTCCAATCCAGATCCACTCCCTTTCTGGCTATTAGAAAACAATAGGCTCTAAGAGATAGTATAGATAAAACAAAATTATCACATCTAAGTTAAACAGGACAAACCAACAAAAGAAAAAAGCCCACGAGAAGGCACAGAAATCATAGAGACCCACTCGTTTGCACACTTAGGAATCTCATAAAAACACTAAACTGGAGGCCATAATATATATTCAAAGGACCTGATACAGGCCCTGTGCATGCTGCCTCAGTCTATGTGAGTTCGTGTGAGCTTTGCTCATGTTGATTTAGAGGGTCTTGGGTTTTTTAGTGTCCTCCATCCCCTCTGGCTCTTACACTCTTTCTCATTCCTCTTCCTCTGGGTTCCCTGAGCTCTGAAGGTAGGGATTTGATGGAGACATCTCATTTAGAGATGAGTGTACCAAGGTCTCTCAGTCTCTGCACTCCTGGCTGTGGGTCTTTGTATTTGCCATCTGCTGCAGGAGGAAGCATCTTCGATGGCTGGACAAAGAACTGATCTATGAATATAGCAGAATATCATTAGGAGACATTATATCACTGTGGTATTTTGGGGGGGTTGTTTTTGTTTTGTTTTGTTTTGTTTTGGATTAGTAGTATTTTGATTTACCCTAGGTCCCTAGGCTATCTAGTCTCTGGTTCTTGCTCACCCAAGCAGAGTCAGGTATAAGTTCTGTCTCTTGAAGTAGATTTAGTCAAATCAGTTATTGGTTGATTACTCTCACAGGCTGTGTACCACCATTGCAATAATATATCTTGCAGGCAGGACACCATTGTAGAGTGAAGGTTCTATGGCTGCCTTGGTATTTGTGTTTTGTTTTTGTTTTGTTTTGCCCTGCCCTGCCCTGCCCTGCCCTGCCCTGCCCTGCCCTGCCCTG